CAGGGAACACCGAGGGATTTGGGGGAGAAAAGAGGAATCATGTGGCCTAACATGTACTGAACTTTGGCTATAGGCCAGGCACTCTTCGAGGCACTTGGATACTATGGTTTAGCTTATTTATTCTAGAATTTGAATTCTAGAATTCACATTCTATCTTTACATTCTTGGAAAATTGAGGTTAGGGTTTCCCCCTCTGCGCCTGCCCTAGGCACTGGTTAACAACTTGATGATCCACTAAATCCTCCAGTTATACATTTTACTAGATTCTTCCTTCCCCCTTACTCCCACATCATTTAATGAGTATTTATTGAGTGCCTACTATGTACTAAGATGTGTGGGGTGGGGTGGGGTGGGGGAATACTGTAAAGAATAAAGCATTCAAGATCCCTGTGGTCACACAAAGGAGGAGCTAATCACAACTAATTATCATAATACAGAAGGGGAATGGAAGTCCTGAAGACAAATTACCCACTGCTGGAGAGGAGGCCTTATAACTTGGTCTGGGCTGGAAGAGGTCCGGAAGCTTTCAGAGCTGTTGCAGTAGTCTCCAGGACAGGGGAGGTCCGAGGATGCTGATGGCAGCAAGGACCCATTTAAAAAAAGTAGGAGGTGGGGAGGGTATAGCTCAAGTGCACGCATGAGGTCCTGGATTCAATCCCCAGTACCTCCATTAAATAAACAAATAAACCTAATTATCTCCCCCTGTTAAAAAAAATAAAAATTAAATTAAAAAAAACCAAAAATCCTTTAAAAAATTCATTGTAACACTCTTTGTATTAGCAAAGTATTGGATACAACCTAAATGTACTTGTTAAATAAATTATGATATATTATACATAGGAGTGGAAATGCATATGTACAGCTAGGGGAAAATCTTTATAATGTAGAGGTTTTGTAGGGTATATTAGATTTAAATTACACCTTTAAAAAGGAAACAATAGATGTACCTATGGCACAGGGCTGTTATGAAGTTTAAATGAATTAACATACCAAAAGAATGCAGAACAATATCCAGAATATATATATACCATTAGCTATTTACTTATACACATATCGTTAATAAAAAGAACAAGAGGCAGAACAGCATGTACAATTACCTACCATTTGTGTGAAAGAAAAATAAGTATATGGGTAAAATATCCCTTGGAAATTTCACAATTAATCAGTAACAGTGGTTACCTCTGGAGAGAGGACCTGAGGGGCCAGCTGCAAGGCAACTTATTTTCGCTGTCTACTTCCCTATGACTGTTTAATGTTTTTACCATGGGTATTTTCATCCATTTGAAAGATTAATTTTTTAAGTAGAAAAGTATCAATCAGAAACCCATAAAGAAAAATAATCAAATTGTATAAGATATAGAGATTAGATTATGTTCTAATCTTTTCCAATAGTGTTATTATGTTGAAATGATTATATATTGCAGTCGTTGAATGATTTTTCAAACATTGGCTGCGCACTTTCAAATTACTGAAAAGGCAGAGTGCTTGCAGCCTCAAAGTGTGGTCCTCAGGTCAGCAACATCAGCATCACCTGGGAACTTATTAGAAATGCAGAATCTAAGGTCCCACTCCAGACCTACCGAATCAGAATTTTAACAAGATTCTCAAGTGATTTGTCTGGGGCCTCTTGTTTGAGGTATGAGAAGCACTGAGCCAGAGCACACTTAAGAAGAAAAGAAAAAGAAAAGGAAATACAAAACAAAAACACTGTTCTACTCCCGTCTCTTCTCGTTGAGCCCAACCTCTCAAAATTGCTGTGGCTCTGAAACCAAGCAGGATCCTGTGGGTTCCCCCTGGGTACAAAAACCTTTCCTTGTCCCCTGTTCTTATTTGTAGGAATAAGGTTTTCAGCCTCTTAGACCCTCCCTGAGTTAGAAAGGGCAGATTCAAACAGTTATTAATGACAGGAATGAGCCAATGCAGAAACAAAGGAAAGGCAGTCAAGAAACAATAGTGCCGTGATGGGGCGGGTTCCTGATTCCTCCTCAAGGGATATACGTAACAATCTGATACTAATCTCTGAGCTCTTCTACAGGCATGAAGGTCCCCACCCAGGTGGAGGCTGAGCACAAGCAGGTGGACCCAACTGGTTAGAACAAGAAGGCTAATTCCTAGAGCACCACCCTGTTACCTTAGCACCAACCAATCAGAGGAAGGCCACACACCCTGAAGCCCTGCCCCCAAATCTTAATCTATAAAAGCTCTTCCCCCAAAACCATTGGGGAATTTGGGCTTTTTGAGCATAAGCTGCCTATTCTCCTTGCTCAGTTCTTGCAATCTGCTCGGAACCCCAGCATTTCTGTTTATTTGGCCTCACTGTGCATTGGGTATGTGAACTTGGGTTTAATAACAGTTCAATGATTCTGGAAACATTGCTGAGTGAAAGAGGGCAAACACAAAATAATCCAACCTATATGGTTCTATTTATATGAACTTCAAAACAAGCTGCATTAATCCATGTTGTTAGAAGTAGAGTAGAGGTTACCTTTGGGGAGGAGAGAGGAGGCAGAGATGGGGCAGGGCCCAAGAGTTGTTCTGGAATGCTGGTAATGTTCTGTTTCTTAATCTCCTTGCTGGTTATTTGGATCTGTTTGTGAAAATTCTTAAGGACTGTACACTTCTGATTGGTGTACTTTTTTGTATGTCTTATACTTAAATAAAAAGGTTTTTTAAAAATGCTCTATTATCACCTACCTCAAATTCCTTGACTGTGGTGGGGGGCAAGGTCCAAGGTGCTTGGGGAAAAGAAACTGAGCAAAAAAAAATTACTTATATCGATTTAATTACTGATAGGTAACTCCTACTTAAGTAGATTACTTTGTCACACACATACATTATCGGAACTCCTGTGCATTTTATAAGGCACCTACTATTGACAAGCATTCACTCGAAGGTGACACGATCACAGTAAAGCTACAGGGTGCTCTCTGGAGTGGTAGGAGAGTTGTACAGGCTCTGCTCTCTGAGTTAGTGGGTTTCAAGCCTGGACCAACCATCCATTAGCTACATAACCTTCAGTAAGTCTCTTTCTCTGCATTTCTGTCCCATCAGAGGGTGATAATTATATGCCCACTTTATAGGACTGTTCTCTGTATTAAATGAGATAATATATATGAAGTGCTAGGCATAGTGCCTGGCATATAATAGGAACCCATTAGTAGCAATTATTGGAGAGTAAAGGTCTTCCCAGACAATAATTCCCAAACACTACCTCACAGATCACCATTACCTGCAGTTGAAGCTAATCATAAGCAGGAAAGATTCTGAAAGCCATTTCCCTGGAAGTTAATTAAGTTCTTATGATCCACGTGGGAACCAGAATCTGGAGTGCCAGCAACAGGTTTTTCAGGCTATTTGCTTTCAGAAGCACCCACCCCATTCCATTGCCCTCAGCCAGCAATGCTATACCTGAGTCCCTCCCAGTCTCCCCACAGCCCTCATTTCTCACGCCTCCTGTGGCTCGTTCCCATAAGCTTGCTCTAAAAACTTCTACTAAACTTTTCAGGCGGAAATACTTGGAAGCAAACTTCATGCTCTTATTTCTAATCCTCAAGAGGCTCACCATTCTCTTTGCTCACTTCGTCCCAGTCCCCTGGCTCCAGGCAATGGTGTGAAGGTGAAAGCAGTCCCCACACCCAATGATAGCCGGAGAGTCCAGAGAGGGATGGGGGTCAGTCAAAGGAGTCTCTTTGTCCTCGTTCCAAGATAAAGAGCTTTTTCAAAACAGTTACATTTTCAAAAGGTCAGTGGTGGCAGGATTAGAGATATTTGGCATTTTTAAAATGACTTTCTGCATTTTCCTGATTAACTACCACTACGTATTATTTTTACTACAAGATTCTTTGGGACCTCCTATAATTAAAAGCATTTTGTGCTCAATGCAGAAAACTTGGAAAACACAAAGGGGAAAAAAAAATTCCCTTAATCACATCATGTAAAGATAATAGCTGTTAACATTTTGGCATATGTCTTTCCAGACTCTTCTCTATGCAGAGATGCTTCATTTTTGTAATCTGGGAAAAAAGTAAACATTTAAGAGACAAAGCCTTGGGTCTTTAGTCTTCAGTTTATTTCTGTTTTTAAACAGCATCTAACGGCTTGGGAAAGTCCCTAACAGCAAGGGCCTGCCCCATGCACTCCCAGAGGCTGCCTAAGCCAGGCCTGAGGTCCAGGTGCCAATAACTCCCCCTCACCCACACTGGCCATCAGGCCTATTTTCACTCCATCTCTAGAGACTTGGGAGAGAAGAGAGTCTCCAGTTAGAGGGAAAGTTGGGACTAAGAGACACTGCATGGAAGGACTGGGCTCAGACACAGCTGCCTTTGTTAGTCTCAGGATATTTTGGGATTTGGTAGCATGCTCATACAGACTGTGGGAGGGAGCAAAGAGGGGCTCCTGGATTCCTCTCTGGCCTATTTCATTCCTAGGCAAGCCTTCGAGCACCCCTTCCTCTTGCTGAGCTCAGTGCATCGCCTTTAGAAGCTGGGCACACGGTAGCCTGTGTAATCCAGCATGCCTTGCCAGGACCTGGTCAGCGGTACTATACTCCTGGCCTAGACAGGATGGGTAACCAGGAAAGTGACGATGATTCAAACCCAAGTGTCCCACTGCCTCCCACTACAGGGCTTGGGGCCTGACTGTACCAACCCCTTACCAATTCTCACCTGAAGGGAAATAATACAAGGGCATCTCTTTGTGAGGAGCGGCAAACCTGGGCATTGAAACCCCAAGCACAGGCACGGCTGGGCCCCCAGGCCAGAGACGCCTCAATGCATGCACTAAAGCAGCAGGGCAGCTCAGCGGGAGAGTAGGGGCCCACAGGGTTAGATCTACCCTTCCCCCAACTCCTCTCCACACCCATGGTAACCATGGAGACATAACCACCCCCTCTGCCAGCTGCCTGGGTTTAGACAACCAGGCCTGGCCCACCTCCACCCAGCCAAGTCCTGAACTGATGCCAGGCCGGCCACAGAGTGGTTGCAGGAAGAACTGGGATTGGGTGATTTGGTCAGTCCAGGCTTCCAGCACAGCTTGGGAGGACTACCACAGGAGCCTCCACACCCTGCTGCCTGGGCTGGGGTCAGACGGGGCTTAGTCAGCCAGCACAGCGGGGCCACATGGCCCCGGATGCCCTCCGCCTGTGGGCTAACAGCTACTGTGGGGAAGTAGCCCTTGCTGCAGCAGCAGCAGCCTCTGGGCCTCATTGAGGGGGCTTTCTGGCTGCTGTTCCTCCTGCCCGGGCCTCTCGGCCAGCCCCCCAGAGCTGAGGATGTACCGATAGTCACTGGGAGTGCCCCCCACTGCCCCCAAGTCGCTGCCATCCCCAGCCCCATCGGCAGCCTGGTCCCCGCCAGGCAGCTCCAGGCTGCCTCCCTCGGCAGGCTCCTGGGCTCCCTCCAGGTTGATGTACAAGGGGTCCTGGCTGGTGGACAGCACGGACAGGCGGCCCAGGATGTTCTCCAGCTCCATTCGCAGACACGTGAAGCTTGGGCGCTGCTTGGGGTCGGCGCTCCAGCATTGGTACATGAGCTCATACCTGGGGCAGAGAGAAGGGAGGGCCAAGGTGAGAAGCTGGAGAAAGGGGAAGGGCAGTCCTTCCTTAATCATATGAAACCAGGTTTTAAAAATTTTATTGAACACACTCACGTATAAGGCTTACTATATATCTGGCACTCTTCTAAGTATTTTACACCTATTATTCTCACAATACTGTAAAATAAGTGATCCCTATTTTACCAAACTGGAGCACAGAGAGGTTAAGAATCTTGACTAAGGCCACACAGGTAGAAGTGAAGAAGTTTGGGAGGGAACAGTAGGAATGCTTTTGTCTTGTGGAACACAGCCTGGAGTCAGGGTTATTTCATGGGGCGGTTTGAGCATCCAACCTTCCTTCCTAAATCATCACCCATTCAAGCAGGCTGAAATCCTCATTGTTCGTGGACACCTCTGAGAATCTGAGAAAAGCTTCCAGCCCTTTTCCCCTGACAGGTATACTTTTTTCATACAATTTCAGGAACTTCACAGATTCCCTGAGGTTTTATCCCTATTCTCAGGGACTGCCTCAGGCTGAGGGAAAAAAAGAACTAACGGGAAGGGGCAGAGACCAGATCAAGTCAGAGCCACTGCCTGTGCCCACAATGAAAGCCCCAACACTCCCCACACACCAGCCCTCCTGACAGGGCCTCCAAGGATGGGGGAAATCATGCCAGACACTGAGTAGGCCGTGGGAATGGTCCGAGCCGTGGGTCTGTGACCAGGCGGTGATACACTGTCAAGGCTGTGCCAGGAGCCAACTGGCGCCCGTCCACGAGGCTGCCTGGTGGGAGGCCAGTGCCTGCCCATCCTCTATTGACAACACTAGCTCCAGCCTGGGAGGACACTAAGTCAAGGCCTGATCCCCACCGCCCAGCGGAGCCTCTACAGCTCCAGAGGCCCAGGTAGGCGGCAGCCACCAGGAGACCTGAGCTTCCTGCCCCCGCCATGCCCGGAGCTCTGCTGAATGAGCAGGAGGTGTAGGGCCTGATTCGAGCACTCAGATTTCCCTTTCTCACAGTCCAGCCTCAGGGCTCTTCAAATCCACTGCCCTAGAGAAAGAGGATCCCACCATTTGGGCTGAGCCTTCCTCTGCCTGTGCACAGCAGGAAAGTGGGAGGAGACTCCTTTCCTGGGTCAGAATGGACTCCCTCCCCCTGGTACCAGTGAAAAGCTTCTCCGGGGGCTCAGGGAAACCCTGGCTTGCATGGGGTAAGAGAATAATACTAGAAAAGACAAATCACAGTTGGGGTCAAAGTCCCAACTTGTTCATTTAGTTGCTGCGTGACCTGGGTCATGTTACTTAACCTTTTTAATCCTCGTTCCTTATCTACAAAATGAGGCTAGTAACAGTCTTTTGCTCATATGGTTAAAGGAGCATTACCTGAAAGAATGCCTGTGAAGTGCCCAGCTAATGTCAGTGACACTGTCTTCCAGTCACAAGGGGTTCATGACACTTCCCTGTGCAGTGACTGTATCACCACCCAGCCCCACTCCCAAGGACTCCAGGCTTCCAGAAAGGAAAGAAGACAGAACCCTCCTCCCAGGATCTGAATTTGTTATCTTAGGTCTTTCCACTCCCTCAAAGAGGAGGCCAAGACAAGAAATGAAGCCAACCTCCCGCCCCCAGCGCCCCCTCCTTGTCAAGCAAGGAATGCGATGGAGCAGCAGTTCTTTCCCTGCCCCTGGGCAGCACTCCCTGAGCGGGAGGGAGAGCTCAGTCTCAGAAGAGCGGTGGCGGGGAAGAGGTGACAGGGAAGCCTGCACTATGGCTCAACCCTGTACCTTCTGCCCGTGGGTAGGGTTCCTGGTTCTCCCTGGAAACTGGAGAAAACAGAGTGGTAGGAAAAGGCTGGAGCAAGAAATGTGGGATGATAAAGAGGGAGAAAAAAAACAGGGAAGTGATGGATGAAGAGGAAGTTTGGGGTAGAGGTCAGCCTTCCCTCTAAATGACAAGAACATATCCACAAAAACAAACAAACACACCCCACAGAAGTGCAATCAAGTATCTAAGCTCCCACTGAGCCAGCAGCTGTGGTGGCAGCCATCAGCTGAAACCCCAAATTCCTGTTTCCTCCCAGAATCCCCTTCCCAGGGCACTCACACGTCCTCCATACACTCCGGAGGCTGTTTCAGGCGGTTCCCGCCGATGAGGTAGTTGTAAATCTCAGCGTTCTCAATGCCAGCATATGGCGTCTGCCCACGAGTCACAATCTCCCACATGGTCACCCCGAAGGCCCACTGGGACAGAATTGAGATTGGAGGGGTGTTATCATTAGGCTTCCTGAGCCAGGCAGAGTCCCAGTACAAGCACATCTGGGGTCCAGAGGCCTCATAATGGGGCAGCCAACGCCCAGAGAGCAGACTCCAGAGGCTAGGCCCTTGGAGATGCTAAAGGTCCACCCACACCATAGTCCACATTACTTGTGTTACCACCAGATGTCATTGTGCCATGCTACTCACCACATCACTGTGCACAGTATACAGGTTGTCAGCCAGGCTCTCCAGGGCCAGCCACTTGACAGGCAATTTGGAGGCACAACCCTGGCGATAGTAGTCCCCGCTATAGATCTTCCGGGAGAGTCCAAAGTCGGCCACACACACCGTCATGTCTTCTGCCAGCCTGTGAGGAGTGTTGGAGGATGCAGGAGTCAGCCTTCCCCTAGGCTGGCAGCCTTACTAAATCCAGGGCATCTTTGCTACCAAGCTGTCCCCTCATGTAGCAGAGACTGTTCCAGGCGGGAGCTGACCATGAGCTAGTTCCTCCCAGCACCACTTGCTCCCTCCCACCCCGAACTCTAGAATTCACATACATGCAGTTCCGAGCAGCCAGGTCTCGGTGGATAAAGTTCCGGGACTCAGGTACTCCATGCCACAGGCAATGTCCACCATGAACCGGACCAGGGTCTGCAGGGGCAGGTTCTGGTGGGCAGAGAGGACAAGCTCAAGCTGGACCTGCCCACCCAGCCAGGGTAGGAGGAATGGGGTGCCCTGGCCAGAAAGTCTAAAGACTGTCCTCAGAATCACTGAAAGGAAGGGGACAAAGGGGCTTGCCAGTGCCAGGAAGCTTTGGCAAATCTAAGGGAGGGCACCCAAAAGTCAAGACGCCACCCATCTGAGGCTCCACAGGACCCTTCTCCTAGGAAGGGGCCCTGCCCAGCCTAAATTCCCAGGGCTTTGTGAAGGAGAAGGAAGCCTGTTAACATTCAAAGGGTCAAACCTGGAGCCCACCTGCTCCCAACCCAACTCAATCGGCCCTACCCACCAGGCCAACCTCCCTCCCAGGGTCTTTGTCCCTTTCCAACTCCTGCTGCTCCCACCCCAGGCACTCACAAAGGGGTTCTCCCCAATCCGGGAGGCGAGCAGGAAGGCGTGCAGGTCCCCATGCTTCATGAAGGGCAAGATGACCATGGGGATGGGGAGACGACCTTTGGCCCTGCTCCGGAGGCTCACCCCTGAGGACAAGGGAGAGTCAGCGGGGCACGTAAAGGCCAAGGGATAGCTCAGGCGTCTGCATGAGCCCACACCTGCTGGGTCCCACCACTAGCCCTGGCTCTGCTACCTCTTGCCTGACAAGTTCCACTCTGGCCTGGTGACTACACAGGAGGGACTCTGGCTGCCCCCAGATCTCTCCTCTATCGCCTTCTCCACCTCTTCTGTTCACATGAGCAGTCTTCACGATATAAGGTTTGCAAACTGAACTCTTTACCTAGAGCCTGATCAGATGTCAGCCAGGCCCCTCTTGCCATTTTGGTGTCTGCTTACTCACCAGGCAAGTCTGAACTTCTCTACCATAGGCTGCCCTTGCACCTTAGTGGGGCACAGTTTCAGCTCTATTTTACATTTGCCTCTCCCAAGAAGGAGCTCACCAACAAGTGTGGCCACGTGTGGATGGTCAAACTCCTTCATGCAAGCCGCTTCTCTGAGGAACTCTTCAATGTCACTTGAGGCAATGATGTCAGCTGGGAGAAAAGGATGGGAGTAGGGATGAGGGAGATGTGGACCCAGGAAACAGTCTGGTCATGAGCAGGAAAAAACCCCGTGGACTGGTGCTATCCAAAAATTTCTCCACTCTCTCATGCCTTCCCTTTGGTTTGAACAGCTGAGCAGCTCAACCAAACTCAGTTTTAATCACCCTGAATGAGACCAAAGGACAGCCACTGCTGACAGCAGAGAGGAAAGGCTGGGGCACCAATTTGTGTGGGATTATGACTGTGAATTATTCATGTGATATAGACAGATCCCAGTTAGTGCTGACAAACTCTTTTTGGAAATGTCTAGGGGTCCAGCAGAGCCTGCTTTAGGATCAGCCACCCCTTTCATTCTCCCAAGTGATGCCTGCACTCCACAAATACAGCACTATTCTCCACTCACCTTTCAGCATCTTTACAGCCACTTTCACAAAGGAGCCATCCTCCTGCTTCAACTGGGCCTCCCGCACTGAACCAAACTCTCCTAGGAATCATCCAAATGACAGTGAGTCCCCCTGGCTTCCTGCCCCCCAACCACATCCCTCCCAGGTGACCCTTCATAGGGACACAAAATCGTTAAGATTCTGGGGGCTCTCTATTCGTAACCAAAGCAAAGTATGCTGGGAGTGACTCTCAGCCCTCCTCATCCCCAGCCACCATTCCCCCAAGCATCCCAAACCCAGGAGTTTACAAGCGTATCCCACTCATAGGAGCTGACCCAAATCCACAGCCTCAAAGTGATAGGGGCAACCAAACACACCCAGATCTGGCAAACTCGACTCATGCCAATCCCTGCACAGCCCCACATACCTTTGCCCAACATCCGGCCCAGGGTGAACTGCTGCTCTGGGATGAGCACATCCTCCAGTTTGTCCTTCAGCTCATCGCTGATGCCCAAGCTGTCCACTGTGGGGAGGAGACGGTAAGAAAGGGGATCCAAAACCCGCCCTCGGAGCAGAGATGAGCTTAGTTTAGCTTTCCTACAGCTAGGTCTGCAACCTCCACAAGGGTAGGTCAGTGTGTCTCTTCCGCTATTGTGTGCTGAAGACTCATCAAGGTTCAGACCTACTGGTCAAATTAGTAAAAGGAATGCAGATAGGGGCCCAAGGTAGCCCATTTTCCTCTCCCATGATTTCCCACCACTCACGTGTGGCCTCAATGCGCTCGGGCCTTTCCCGATTGAAGGACCGTGCTGCCCGGAAGTGAACGGCTGGCTCCCCCCGGGCCATGACAGTGTCAAAGGCTTGCCTAAAGGAAACCAAGGACTTGGAGTCAGCTCCAAGGTCTTCAGTCACTACTGACCTCTCCCTTCATGTTCCCACCCCCTTACCCAAACCGTGTTTCCTTCCGCCTCTTTCGAAGTAGGATGAGGGCCAGGGCAGCGGCTGTCACCAGGGCTGTCAGCACACCCAGGACCACAGGCACCCAGGACGTGCGGCTGTGGGGAGCACCCTGCTGGCCTGTGGGTGACAGGGGCAGCGTCATGAGCTAGCCTGATACCACAGAGTCCCCTGAAAACATTCTGATGATGGCCATCTGGCCTGGACAAGAGGCTCCCCTCAATCAGTAAGGGTTCTGAGTGGAAAGAGGCTCCAAAGGAAGATTCACGCATTCGTACTCTGTCCGTGACAGGCCCTGGCTGTTGGGACCTACAACGTGATCAGAACTTCTATGCTAGTCATGGGGCAGAGGGAGGAGAATGAGATACAATCCTAGCCCCAAGTGCTTGACTCTGAATCTTTGGGCTTATTAGGAGGGGAGGCGCTGCCAGCCTCCTCCCATCAGTCTAGGTTGCCCTTGAGAGCAGAGATCCCTAGCCCCCTTCCCCTTACAGGCCTCACCTGCATGGTCGTGAGAAGAGACCACCAGCGGCTGACTCCAGGGCCCACAGCCAACTGCATTGGAGACGCACACACGCACAGTCAGGTCCTTCTGGGGGTCCCAGCCCGTCAGGTTGGCCCTGGTCCCCTCCACTGTCAGCTCACCCTGCAGCCAGGGAAAGCCCCCATCCCACACTGAGCCTGAGGAAAAGGCCTTGAGCGTGGGCCTGAAGGCAGAGAAAGGTCTAGCTGGGAACATGGGAGGCTAGGGACGCAACCTGCTGGGAGTCATCACATTCCTGATCCAAGCTGCAGAGGCCTCTCCTGAACACAAGCAAGGCTCAGTCTGGGGATGTGTGGGGTGGGGGAGGGGGCAGGATAAGAAGGCTTTATCTGTGTCCTCCCCCAGTTTGTGCAGGAATGTGCTTCCTGTTTTACATTCAAAGTGGACACTGGAAGCAATCCTAACAGGAGACAAAATCCAATAATGAATGCAGCCTGCAGGGGAGGGTAGGGAGGGGTAGATTCCCTGGGGTGTAGAAGGCCCACAAAGGCCCCCAGGCTCACCAAGGACAGCCATTCTGAAGCTCTATGGCCTCAGGGCCCTGAGGGCTGACTCCAGGACACATGCAGAGTGGAGGCTTCAGTCATCCCTTACCTGGGTTCCATTGTCTTGGGCCCAGGACAGTTTATAGGGGCCCAGGGGGCCTTCCAGAGGGCCCTTGGGGATTACTTCTTCCCACTCCAGGATGAGGCCCGAGTCTGTGCGGATGGCATGAAGGTGCTGGGGAGCACTGGCTGGGGCTGTTCCCAAAGAGAGAAGGTCACTAAAAGCCCTGCCCTTCCCACCACCTGGATCCCATGCAGGCCTCTGGAACCTTTTCCAAAGAACTCAATAGCCCAGAGAGCAACAGGTGGGGGAAAAATTCACCTCCCAGTTCTGAATGCTCTCACTCATTGTCCTGGGGAGGAGGGTGGGCAACGGTAGGACCTGTACTACCCCAGCCAGGCAGAGTATTGTGCTTTATCACCACGGTTACTGCCTCAGCAGCATCCTCACCACTCTCCTCTCACAGCCCTGCCAGCCTCCTTGCAATTGCCATGAACTCCAAGCAAGTTCGTGTCAAGGGTCATTGCACCCTGTGCCCTTTTCCTGCAGTGCCTTCCCCCAAATATGGCTCTTTCCTTATAATTCAGAACTCAGATCTCTGTATGGGGGGTATTCCTGGACCACCCTGGCACTCTTCACCACTGTATTATTTGATCTTTTCTACTTTGTCTGCCCCAACTTCTACTACTTCGGTTACTTTGGGGTGTAACCGAAGGAGAGCAAGAGTGGGGTCCTCTAACTGGTGGAGCCCAGAGCAGGGGCCTCTGCTGCCCAGGAAAACTACCCAGAATAGTTTCAAAGGTGCTCATTAAATACCTTTTGAGTGAACACATAAAAATGAACAAGCCTGCACCTTTTACAACTGGAACTGAATGGGAGGGGGACTGGATTGACCCAGTTCATAGGTAAGCAGCAGGTACTCAGCACAGTGTTTGCTGAATGATGATCCTCCCTCTCTCAATCAACTTCATTCAGAGCTGGCACCAAAACCGTCCCTTCCCTGCTTGGGTCCTGCCCAGTCTCTCTGCTAAGTCCCTTACCTAGACCTTTTGTCCGAAAGGGCACCCAGTCAGCATATGGAGAAGGCCCCAAGGCATTGGCACAGCGAACCCTGAGGCTATAGTTGGTGGCAGGTGCCAGGTCCCGGAGCAGGCAGGTAAAAGGTGGCACAGGGACCACGACAGCCAGGACCTCCCAGCCTCCTGGGGCCTGAGTCACCTACAGAAAAGCAGAAAACTAATGATGTAGGGGAGGGAAATTTCTAAGGCATGTGAGATGAGATGGAAGATGGGACAGGTTTGGGTATGGTTGGGGGATTTCAGTTAACACCTCCTCAAGTCTATCAGCCACCCACCCCCTTCCACCCACCCCCACTCCAGTTTCCACACTTCCATGTCTTTGCAAATGCTGTTCCCTTTGCTCTTCCTAGCAAAGTCCAACTCACCCTCTAAAATTCAGCGCAAATACCACTTTCACTATGAAAGCCTTTCTCAAATATTCGAGAAAATTCATGCCCCTTTGGGCCTGATGCACAATTATATTAGCGTGGTTACCACTCTTTATAACTGTTTACATGCCAGCGCAAAGTCTCAGAGCTTCTCAAGGGCAAAGTAATGGAGCCAGGCCTACACCTTACATTTTGGGGACCCAGGGTAAGAGTGCAAATAAAGATCCAGTGTACCATATGGCTAAATATTTAAACGTTAAAAATCAGCTAACAAACTATTAAAGAAAATATCTTCTCTCTTAATATATTGACACACAAAGCTACAAAACAACCTGGGAGGTCAGGTTTGCATTTATAACTCTCCGAATCCTTGGAGTCCCAAGCCGGAATGTGGTGACACAAGAAGAGCCAGCCTCCAGCCACGGGTCTGCACTATGAAAGATGTCACATGCATGGGTGTGGACAATGCTGCCTGCATACCCACCCCCCACAAGCGGCTGCCCTTTGGGCTTAGAGGCACACATACCATAGCACGATCCATCCTCTGGAGGATGGACCAGGGAAGAGGCCCATACAGGCCCCAGAAGCAGACTCCAGTTAAGGGGAAGTAGAGGGGCCTGGTGATCTGGCTGGGCATGTGCCCTCAGCCCTGTGGATTCCTTGCCCTGGGGCAAGGAGTGTAATCAAAGGAGAGCAAGAGTGGGGTCCTCTAACTGGTGGAGCCCAGAGCAGGGGCCTCTGCTGCCCAGGAAAACTACCCAGAATAGTTTCAAAGGTGCTCATTAAATACCTTTTGAGTGAACACATAAAAATGAACAAGCCTGCATATTCTCCTATTTTTAGTATCACCTTACCCAGCTTTCCCACTCTCTGGGGCCTAGGACCCTTCTGGTCCCCTTGTTCTCTTTGTCCTGAGTCGGGGGGTGGGGCACATGAGTACAGGTATCAGATAAGTCAAAGGTTTGGGTTTTCGCCCACATAAGAAAAACTTCCAGGCAT